GCCCCCGACACTGCCCAGACACACACCGCCCCGAGTCCTAAGGCACTTTTTTCAGCCTACAGGTGCAACCCTAGCCCCTATTCCCCTACAAACCCAACACCTCAGTGCCCCCGCCCACCAGTGGCACCTGCCTGGTGTGTGGTTACCATCCGCCTATGTTTAATTCATGGCTGGGGGTTGGGACGAGCTTCCCGAGAAAGGGAAGAATTCCCCTGGGGTCTTGCCCAGTTCCCGCCTGCCTGCCCTGGGCCTGGGAGTAGAAGCTACCGATGTGCCCAAAGGACACTGTCCCGGCCAGGGCACAGCCATCATTTGCTAATCCACAGCCCTGGAATGTCTGTGGGCCAATCGGCGGGGGTTCCCAGGGCTCCCCAAGGGCTCCAATAATCCTGCAATGATTAGCAGGGGCCACAGGGTCAGTGCACACTGCTGGGTTGGTTGTTATGGGCAGGGCTGCTGGCCAGGCCAGTGGCTGGAGGGGGGTGGAGCCCTGGGATTGGAGCTGGCTTTCTCTCATGCCAGGGCCGAGGGGAGGCTTTTGGGATACAGCGATTACTCACCAGCCTCCCCCTTTTGTCTGCCAGTACAGCCTGACCCCTTGAGATTGTGAACACTCTATCTAGCCTGGGAAGCGGGCTGGACGGCTGAGCCAGGCCACATCCAGAGTGGCCCATGCTGTGGCCAGAGCCCTCCACCAGGCTGGGGGGCCGCTGGCCTGGCCTCCTGCCCATACTTCTGGCTCTCCTTGGCATGGCCCGGACAGAGGTGGAGGTGCTGCTGCCGCAGGAGGAACAGGCTCCAACGCCCGGAGGTAAGGGGCCCCCGGGTGAGGAAAGAGGTGGAGCCGCTGTGAGCTCTGCAGAGGGGTGCTCCGGGGCTGCTGGAAGCCAGTTCCCAGGCCTGAGCCCTGGGCAGGCTAGCTGTGGTTTAAAGAGTCCCCTTGGGTAGTCCAAGGGCCCAAGATGGTTGGGGGGGTGGGGGCTGGGGAGCAGGAAGAATGAAGGGGAGTGGGCCCAGGCTGGGGGGTCCAGGAGGAAGACCAGCCAAGGGGCCCCAGGGCTGACTCCTCCACACACCCAGCCCCTGGCCCTCACCCCCTCCTGTTACCCTCACCCCCGGCCCTCAGCCCAAGGGTGCCTGGGCACCTGCCTCTCTCACAGCCCCACACCTGTCTCCCATCCCTCTGCGCGAGCCCTCCCGTATGCCCACCATCCTCCCCAGCCCCTCCTGCTCTTGTTTCCTAAGGGCAGGGCTGCACTCTAATCTTGCCACGGTGACCCCCACCCCATCACCCAGGGGGCCTGACCTTGTCTCCCACCCCAGCTCTGAGCAGTAAGGAGACGTTCCTGCTCCTGTCCCTCCACAACCGCCTGCGCAGCCGGGTGCACCCTCCTGCAGCCAACATGCAGAGAATGGTGAGGACCCCCAAGAGGGTGGCTGGAGGGGCAAACGTGAAGAGGGCTTAGGAGGCCAGACTGGTGCCAGGCGCCCATCCACCTGAGCAGCGCAGGGGGGTAGCCAGTCACCTGACCCACTGAGGGGACCATGCCTGGTTGCGGGGGCTCCGCAGCTGCCTGCTTCCCAGAAGGGCAGTTCTTTGGCCTTTCCTCACATCCCATCCCGTTGCCCGGGAGACCAGAAGACAAGGAAGGAGTGCTCCACAAAGAAGTCCCAGCAGGATCAGAGGGGCAGAGGACTGGGAGGGAGCAGCACCCCGCTTGAGGGAGGGGGCTTGAATGTGACCAGGGCCCAGTGCTTCTTCATGGTTTGTCTGGATGACTAAGTGGGGCCCCTCTGAGCTCCCTTATCATTCACTGGGGGCTGGGTAGCATGGGAGGATTTCCCACCACACCAACTGGGACCACCGGGCGGGCGGGCGGGGACCATCCGGGGCCCAGGAACGCAAGCCCGGCCCATGTTAACAGGCCCGGGAGGGAGAGCAGGATCCTGTGGGGGTGGGCAGGGTTCCCCATGGCTGCCTCCCATAAACTCCTCCAGGCTGGCTCAGTGGTGGTGACCTTGAGAGCTCCCGGGTCAGTTTCCCAGGAGGTGGGGGTGGGGCGAGCCTGCGGGAAGGGGTCGTTTCTCCCCCCTTCCCTGCTCCGCAGCAGCTCTGCCCCTCCTCAGGCGCAGGTCCTGGCCCCCACTGCCCACTCTCCTTGCTCCCAGCTCAAGCGCCTGGCGTGGGGGCGTCCCGATCACCTGGTCAGCAGTTTCTATAGTTTTCATGCCCCTTTGACCAAAGTCTTAGAAAAAGAGCATTTCATAAAAGATGAGAATGGAGCCCCACCACTCAGCCTCCCTCACCTCCGCAGCCCTCTAGGGCTTTCCCCCAGTGGAGGCTGAGGCTCTGGGGAAGTTGCAATCCCCATGACAACCTTACCCCGCAGGTACCTTACTGTCCTCATGTTGAGTCTCGTGGAGATTAGGGGACTGCTAATGGGGTGGCTGGGTTGGGCCAGGGCATGGTGATGGGGTGACCCATGTCTTCTTCATGGCTGAACCCCTCGTTTAAAATTTTTTAAGTTTATTTTGAGAACGAGAGAGCCAGAGTGTGAGCAGGGGAGGGGCAGAGAGAGACAGAGAAAGAGAATCCCAAGCAGGTTCTGTACTGTCAGCACAGAGCAAAGCGGGGCTCGAACTCGTGAACCATGAGTTCATGACCTGAGCCAAAATCAAGAGTCGGATGCTTAACCGACTGAGCCACCCAGGTGCCCCAATAAGCCCCTTGTTTAAGAGGACAGAGGACTTCTGGGCGGCAGTGGGGGTATGAGGGGAAGTCTGTTAGTTTGTGGGTGGGGAGAAAAGATTGGGGCCGCTCCAGAGGACAGTGCTGGCTGGGGCCAGAGCCCTGAGGCCGGGAGCCTCTCTTGTCCTGCTTCCCTGTTGGCACCCCAACACACTCCAAGGCCAGGGTTAGAGAACGGGACAAAGCAGCACGGCTGCTGAGGCCTTTTGCATCAAAGAAAAGTCAAGTGGGAGCAACTGAACCTTTCTGCCAATGGCCAAGACCAGTTGTACCTAATGGCAAACACAAAACCAGTTTGCAAGGCTTGGGCACTGCCCAGGGCTCGCATTACCAGACAGGAAAAAATACCAGAGAAGCCCATCCCATCACCGGCTAACACTACTCCCTCAGGAACACCCATCACCCCCTTTCCTGGGGTGGTGCCCAAGGCAGGGCCTGAGGGCACCCACACAGGAGTCAGAAGGATGGGAGCTCTCAGGCCTGGGTAGAGCCAGGCTCTGGGTCAGGTGTCCAAACATCGCCGGTACTTTTACAAACATATCTTGGAGAGTTCCTTGCTCTCCAAGGTCCAGACTGACCTCCCCTGGCTCCGGGCGGGGGGGGTGGGGGGGAAGTGGGTGAAAGAAGCTTGGAGGGGTCAGGTGGCCAAGCAGGAATCCCCGTCCAGTGCTCTCTGCATGAGCCTACACCCTGTGGGGAGGTTGAATCACTAAGGCCTGGCCCAAAGGTCCCTGCTGACGTCTCTGTTTGTGCCGCCCCCAGGACTGGAGCGAGAGCCTGGCCCGATGGGCTCAGGCCAAGGCGGCTCTCTGTGGTGCCCCAGCCCCGAAGTCTGCATCGGCACCTCGAGCCACGCAGCAAGTGGGCTGGAACGTGCAGCTGCTGCCCGTGGGTTCAGCATCTTTCGTCCACGTGGTGGGCCTGTGGTTCGCAGAGGGGCAGCGGTACAGCTACACAGCAGCCGAGTGTGCCCCCAATGCCACCTGCACCCACTACACTCAGGTGAGGCTGTGCCCCTGGCTCCAAGGCCCCTGGGTCACTGGGGGCAGCTCAGAAGGGCTACTGTTCGTCCTGAAATTGGTGGTCACTTTCCCCCCGAGTTGTATAGTTTTACTTTTTTCAGCTTTAAATACGAAATATTTCAAACATCAAATAATGGACTCCCTTTTACCCATTACCCAGATTTAGAAAATGTTTAACTATAGTTGTTTCTCATCTCTGAAGAAAAAACAAACAACAGAACTGAAGCCCTACTCCTGCTCTTTCCTCTGTCCTTCCCCAGAGGTGGGTGACCTTCCTGAGATCCAGGTGGATCAGTTCCAAGCACATTTCCTTTGTTTTATTTTATGTACCTGGCATTGTTTAGGCGCTAGGGTGCAGCACTGAAAAACACAGGCAAAGCCAAAGCATTTTTAATACTTTTACTGCATGTCTAAGTGTTTTCATACCTTTACAGCTTTTGCAAGTGGGTTGTGTGTTATTAAGTCCCGTATGAGTGCTCTCTGTGTGTGTCTCGTTTACCACCCCAGACCATGTTTCTAAGATTTACTTCCATTGACCCAGATACACATGGGTGATTCACTATGAATAAACTGCAATTTATAGGCATCTAGGTTATTTCTACTTTTTTACTATTAAAAGTCATTCTGGGGGCACCTGGGTGGCTCAGTTGGTTGAGCGCCTGACTCTTGATTCTGGCTCAGGTCATGATCTCAGTTCGTGAGTTCAAGCCCTATGTCAAGTGCACTGTCAGCACGGAGCCTGCTTGGGATTCTCTCTCTCTGCCCATCCCCTGCTTGTGTTCTCTCTCTCTCTCAAAACAAGTAAACACGAACTTTAAAAAAATTTTAAAAAATAAAAGTACTTCCACAATGCACAAATCCTACTTCAGCTCCTTTCGTGCATATGTGTCCAGAGTTTCTCTAGGATGCATTTAGAAGGTGAATGGCCAGGTCATAGCATAGCATGCAACTACGACCTTATGAGTTATTGCCAAAGTGGCCATGCCAACTGTACTCCCATCTACAAGTCAGTTCTCACTTCCCCAGTATTGCCAGGCTCCTTGATTTTGACCAACTCAAGGCTGTGAAATGCTTCCTCACCTGATTTTTAATTTGAAATTGAGCATATTACCTGCTTTGTTAATTACCTGTTCAAATGTCTTGCCCATTTTTATAACACGGTGCGTCTTTTTCTTACTAATTTTCAAGCATCCTTTCTACATTCTTTATGCTTTCTGTTGGTCATATGGATATACATTTTTTCCTAGCATAGGGCTTATATTTTTCTTTGTGTATCTTATATTTTATATGAAAGACCTTTTAGATTTTAGTATTAATCCATTTTCTCAGTTTAATGTATAGTTCATCTGTTTGTAGTATCATGTTTAAGAAATCCTTTTCCACTCTGACATCAGAAATATCTTTTCTTCCAAAGCTTTCCTTTTTCATATTGATGTCATTATGCCTCCTGGAATTTTTCATGCAGGTGTGGTATAGGATCTCATTTTATTGTCTTTCCAAATAAGCATCCTCTACTGAGTATTGAATCCTTCCCCGCTGATTCATAATGCCACCTCAGTCATATACCAAGCGCACATCTGCCCGTAAGTCTTTTGCTGAGTTATTGGTCCTATTCTGTTGTTTTGTTGTTGTTGTTTATCCCCACACATATCATATTTTAATTATGGCTTTATAGAAAAGTTTTGAAAGGAAAATTCTCCATCTACACACTATATGCTATAACAGTTATGCAAATGCTAAAATACTGATGTATTAGTAAACAGTAGCTGCCCCAAGTTCCCAGAATGCACCTGGCCTAACCTCTTCCCTGAGACCCCTAGAATCTGTCCCATGATCTAGAGGCAAAGAATGAATGCCTGGCACAGTATTGGGTCTCAGGATCCTCCTTCAGCCCAGTGTCTGTTCTGATTGGCAAGTACCCATGCCTACGGGTTGTTAAATATTTTGAATATTTGCCAACTTGGCATGTCATGTAATGTGAAATAATGTAATGCAGTGTGTGTGTGTTGTTGTTGTTACTGTTGTTGTTTTTTTAATATGTATGTATGTATTTTTGAGAGAGAAAGAGTGAGCAAAGGAAGGGCAGAAAGAGAGGGAGACAGAGAATCCCAAGCAGGCTCCACACTGTGAGCACAGAGCCTAATGGGGGCTCAAATCCATGAACCATGAGATCATGACCTGAGCCAAAATCAGCAGTTAGATGCTTAACTGACTGAGCCCCCCAGGCGCCCCTGTTGTTTTTAATTCATTGCTAGATCTGCTTTGCTAATTATTATTTGATATTGAAATTGACCTCTGATTTCCTTTTCTCATACTGCCCTTACTTGGGTTAGAGCAATGCTAACCTCATAAATGAATTGCAAATTTTGCCTCATTTTCTCTTTCCTGGAATAGTTCCTATAATATTTGCTGTGACTCTCCTGTAAAACTATTTGGGCCTTGTTCTGTTTTGGGGCTGTTTTGTGTGTATATGCATTGTATGTGTGGATTTTTAACTGCTGATTCAACTTTTAGAAACGGTCAGAGACCATTTCAGACTTTCTCCTTCTTCTTGAGATAGTTTTGCCAAGTTCTGTTTTCTAGAAAATTGTCCATTTTATGTTTTCCAATTTATTGGTCAGAATTGTTCAGTATTTAACAGAGATTTAAAACTAGAATTAAACAGGGATTTTAAAAAGATTTGCTGTGTCTGTAGCTAGGTCCTTTCAAACTTTTCAGCTTTATCTATGCCTTCTCTCTCATTCTTTACCAGTCTTGCCAGAGCTGTGTTTACTTGAACAAATCAGCTTTTTTTTATTTTTAGCCTCTTTTTTCTTTTTTTCTTAAATTTCTGCTCTTATTTTTATTATTTGCTTTTTAAGAGTTAAAAAATTTTTTTTAGTAATCTCTACACCCAACATGGGGCTCAAACTCACAACCCCAAGATCAAGAGTCCTTTGCTCTTCTGAGCCAGCCAGGCGCCCCTATTATTTACTTTCTCCTACTTTATTCAGTTGATTATTTTTTTTTAAATATTTTTTAATATTTATTTTTTTCTGAGAGCAAGCAAGAGGGGAGAGGCAGAGGGACATAGAGAATCCTAAGCAGGCTCCACACTGTCAGCACAGAGCCCAACACCAGGCTCACACTCACAAGCCATGAGATCATGACCTGAGCCGGAGTTGGATGCTTGACTGACTGAGCCACCCAGGCGGCCCTGCTGTTTTTTTATATTCTTGATTAATTTTTAAGTCTTTTTCCATTTCTGCTAAATTCATTTAAAGCTATAAATTTCCCTCTAAACTTCATTAGCTGTATCCCGTGAGTTTTGCTGTTCAGTGATTTTTCATTTCTACATGTTTCCTATTTTCCATCATGATATCTTTGATTTCGAAGTGTATGCTTAAATTTTCTGTTTTCTCCTTTCCCTTACTTCTAAGCTATTTACTCGATATTTTATTGCATTGTATTTATAGAATGCAGCCCATAGGCTATTGTTCCTTTGGTCTTTGTTGAATCTTGCTTTGTGGTTTAGGGAGGGGGGTCAATGTTTGCAAAAGCTCCGTGCATCCCTAAAGAGAATGTACGTTCTCTAATTATTGGGTACATATATATGACTACATGTCTGTGTCTCCCTATTTCACAGTTGTCATTTTAAGTGCTGCAGGAGTTGAACTATTCCTGCGCTGTTTCCAAGTTATCGCTGATTTCAAGGTTTTAAATCTAAGTTTGGAGTACTATCCGAGACCTACACCTACCAGCTTTTGCCGTATGATACACTACCCCAAAGTTTAGCATCCTGTGATTCTGCAGGTTGACAATCTGAGCTGGGCCCAGCGGGGAAGTTCTTCCGGCCTTGGTGGGGCCCACGTGCAAGGGCAATCACTTGGCTGATTTTCTGGGAGCTGGCTGTCTAGAGTGGCCTCAGCTGGCTCACCTCTGCCTGTGGGGTCTCCTGAGGCCTAGGTTCAAAACTGGCTCAAAATCACTTCTTCTGCATTCCGTTGGCCCACGCAAGCCACAGGGCCAGCCAGAGTCAAGCTGGAAAAGAGGGTCCTCCTCATGATGCAAAAGAGCACATTTAAGTGTGAGCTGTAGGAAGGAGTGAAGGGTTGTAGCCATCTGTGCAATCGGTCACAAGACCTTTGATGTCCAAGACTTTTTTTTTTTTTTTTTGAGAGAGAGAGAGACAGAGTGCAAGTGGAGGAGGGACAGAGAGAGGGGGAGAGAGAGAATCCCAAGTAGGCTTTGTGCTGCTGTCAGCCCACATCCCATGCGGGACCCCGTCTCACATACCCATGAGATAGTGACCAAGATCGAGTTGGACCCCTAACAACTGAGTCACCCAGAAGCCCTGTCCAAGACTTTCTTTTGCCACTTCCACCCACCCACGATTCTCTCCTTTCTTCAGGTATCTGCTGACTGAAACCCCTCCACTCCCCCCACCCAGACAGCCTTCCTAGGCTATTCCCACCTGTCCTCATAGCCCTGCCCAGCCCAGCGGCCACTGCTGAGGCCCCGGGAGGTGATGGAATTGTCTTTCTGTCTGGTTTGGGGCAGAGGCTGCGTCTCCCCTCCCCAGACAGGCATCGTCAGTGCCGTTGGCCCCCAGAAGACTCGGGGGGGGGGGCCCGTGATGATGGTCTGAGCCACTATGTCTCCTGCAGCTCGTGTGGGCCACCTCGAGCCAACTGGGCTGCGGGCGGCAGCCCTGCTCTGGGGCCCAGGCGGAGATTGAAGCCTTCGTCTGCGCCTATTCTCCCGGGTAAGCGCCCCCCGCTGCGTTGTGGGGTGGAGGGTACGTCCTCCCAGGGTAAAACGCTCACCCACCCACTCACAAGGCCTTTGCCCCTTGGTCTGCACCCTCACAGAAAGAAGGAAAGGGAGAGGGTGTGGAAGTGGGCAGCACTCACGAGCCCGGCCAGGCAGAATGTGGCTTCCCAGATGCCCGTCCTTGGAGGCACTGTTCCGCTGTGCCCGGTTGAAGTACGGAGCATTAGCATTAGTTTGGAGGCCATTTTTTTCCTTTCCTAAGACACCTCCCTGTCACCTCCCTGTTCCCTGACTCCCTGGCTGGGCCAGAAGGAGCTGAAGGGGCCAAGGCCCTTTCCCCAGGCCAGGCCCTTGCAGCCCTCTCTGGTGCTTCCTCTCACAGAGGCAACTGGGAGCTAAACGGGAAGACAATCGCCCCCTATAAGAAGGGCTCCTGGTGCTCTCTCTGCACGGCCAGCGTCTCAGGCTGCTTCAAAGCCTGGGACCACGCAGGGGGGCTCTGTGGTAAGTGCTCCGCCCCACCCGCCTCCTGCTGGGACAGTGGTACAAGAGAGCTTGATGTGGTGATCCTCCTGGAGGGTGGTAGCGTCCTGTAGGACTGTCCTCCAAGCCGTGGCCCTTAGCACCCGGGAGGCACCTGGCTGGGCTGCCTGAAGGAGGTTCCCTCTCAGAGCTCCAACCTCGCCTGACCAGAGGTCCCCAGGAACCCATGTCGCATGAGCTGCCGGAACCACGGACGTCTCAACATCAGCACCTGCCACTGCCATTGTCCCCCTGGCTACACAGGCAGATACTGCCAAGGTGAGGGGCACGTGGAGCTCCAGATCACCCAGGGAGTGAAGTCTGGGCCCAGGACACATGCAGGCAGCCTCAGGGGGTGGGGGGACACACGGTGTTGCGTGGGTGTCCAGGGGCCGTGTTGCACTCACTCAAAGTGTTTGGAGAGAGTCTTGAGGGAGTTGGTGGGTGCTGACCAGGTACTTGCTGACCCGGACACTGCATATAGTCATTCAACAAACAGCCTGAGCACCGCCGGCCAGACCCTGAGGTTTGTAGGGGATTCAGAGTAGATTCCGATCTGGCCCTTAGGCCGTGGATGGTAGCAGGAGGACATCATCAGGATCTAGAAATAGACTCTCCTCCCAGTGTCCCCCTCCCAGCTCGGTGACCATGGGCAGGTCCCCCTCCCAAACCCCAATTTGCTTCTCTCTACAATGGAGATCAAACCAAGAGTAGCAGCAGTCGAAGCCGGGACAGGTTCCGTCCCTGAGGGGCGTGCTGGCCGCAGGTGGCCATTCCCCACACTCCGAGGCCTGGGAGAGGCAGTGTGGGGTCCCGGGGCTGCGGGCTGAGCTCTGTTCCTCCCCGCCTGCCCTGGCAGTGCGGTGCAGCGTGGAGTGCGTTCATGGCCGGTTTCGGGACGAGGAGTGTTCCTGCGTCTGTGACGTCGGCTATGGGGGAGCCCAGTGTGCCAGTAAGTCCTGCCCCCAAGGTCCCCCGATGAGCCAGGCCACACCCCAGGGACCCCCTCAGCAGCAGAGCGTTGGAGCCAGCTCGGACCGGCTCCCAGGAGTCTACTGTGCACATCTCTTCCCAACTCCCTGCTCGGTGACATCACATTGGTACCTTGAAATTGTCCCTGGTGGGGGTATTTGCACCGCACAGATTGGCAAATTCTATATATCTTTTTTTTGTCTTTGAAAGCAAGCTGACTGTTACACATTCACCAGCACAACACTGACTCCCACCCACTCTCCGGCTTGGAGAGGGTGGCCAGAGGAAGGGGAAGGGGCTTCTTGAGCTTGGCGCCCCGGCAGGGAGCGAGGCGTAATGAGTCTGAGGTCCCCACGCACACAGTCAGGCCCCCCTGTCCCCAGCCAAGGTGCGCTTCCCCTTCCACACTTGTGACCTGAGGATCGACGGAGACTGCTTCATGGTGTCCTCAGAGGCAGACACCTACTACGGAGCCAAGATGAAATGCCAGGTGATGGTTGAACCCTGCCTTCCCAGGGACCCCCAGGGTCTCCAGTAAGGGTCTCAGTGGAGGGAGCTGGGACTGAGAAGTGGCTCCTTTGACTTCTTCTGACCTGACTCTGGTCATTAGTGTAAAGCGGGGTTACTCAGAGGCCCATGGGAGCCAGGAGGTCACCTAATGAGCTCAGGGACCCAGGGGTGAGCCCTTGCCCAACCCCCATCTCAGGAGCCGTCCTGATTCAGTCCTAGCTACTGGCTGTCACATAGGTGTAGGAGTTCACAGAGGTCAGAACTTGGGATTTTTCAAGAGCACCAGCAATTCAGATTTTCATGGGCATCGCTAGATTTATTAATGTCGGCAACCAATTCAAACGTATTAAAGACACTGAACAGATGAAACAAAACCTTCCCGAGGTCAGGGCCCTGCCAGTCTGGGCCCCTGTGCACAGAGAGAGGAGATGCAGGCAGGGGAGAGGAAGGGGGACCCCTACTCTAAGAAGCAGGAGGCCGTGGGGCGGGGGAGAGGATGTCCCTGGCCACTTCGGGGTGTTGGGATGGGTAGGAAGGGCCGGCCTGAGCTCTGGGGCCCTGCCAGTGTGACGTGGAGTGGGGGTTACAGGGAAAGGGCGGGGTGCTAGCCCAGATTGAGAGCCAGAAAGTTCAGGACATCCTCGCCTTCTACCTGGGCCACCTGGAGACCACCAATGAGGTGACCGACAGCGACTTTGAGACCAGAAACTTCTGGATCGGTGAGTGCCTGGCTGGTTGGGGGTGCAGGAATCTGGGCTGCAAAACCTCCCCCAACAGACAGTAAGGGTGTGATGAGGGCCAAGGACCCGGAACGGGGCTGGCGACCTCCTTCCCTGTGGGGAGCACGGACAAGAGGGAGGGGGAGAGCCCCTGGGGGCCGAAAGAGCTGGGAAGGTGATTAAGGACAGGCATTAGGCAGCAGGCTCCAAGCTTGGGGGTGCTCCTCTCAGGGAGCCTGGGCTCTGAGTGGGGCCCAGGGCTGGTGGGCCAACCTCAGCTGCTGGGGCCCAGGGCTCACCTACAAGACCACTAAGGACTCCTTCCGCTGGACCACCGGGGAGCACCAGTCATTCACCAGTTTCGCCTTTGGGCAGCCTGACAACCAGGGGTGAGTCTGGAGTGCCCTCCCTCCTCCGGGCTCCCTCTCTCACGCGGGACCGCTTGCTGAGCCCTCAGATGCCACTGAATAACCTCCACCCGGCCTGCTGCCTGGGTGAGCCCTGTGAGGGCCTGGGCCTTACCCGGGGCCCAGGAAGTCTGGGTACAGCTGATGTGAGCCACAGCCCAGCATCTCGGGGCTTACATAAAGGAGAGGGACCTCTAGAAGGCTCCATCCATCCATCCATCCATCCATCCATCCATCCATCCATCCCCACTGTTCCCTCAGCTGTCCTCCCAGCCCTCCATTATCTCCACCTGTCCCCCACCACCACGCTCCTCTGCCTACATCAATACCCTGATTCTGGGGTCTTTAGCAATCCACCCACCTGCATCCAGTCCTGCACACGCCCATCCCCCAGCCAGCCTGTACGGAGGGCCTTCTGGTTAGGCGGCCCTGCCCCGGTCATCAGAGCCCAGGAATGCCCAGGGCAAGCGGGGGCAGGGTAGAGGAAGTCAGGCTGTGTGGACTAGGGGCTCCAAAAATCTGGCCCACGTCCTTTGACCTCATTGATGGCAGCCGGGCCCATGCCCCTGCTCTGTCACCTAGAGGACACTGCTCTGATTGGGCTCTCAGGCACACCCTCTCCCTGCTGGGAGGAAGGACATGGGCCTGACTGTTCCAGGTCCTACCTTCACCCCCACCGGCTGGCATGGCTGAGTGCTGGCACTGGGCAGGGGGAGTTGCTGCCCAGGTAGGGGGTTTGCCGAGACCTCCCAGCTTCCCTGAGAAGAGCTACAGAGGCCTGAGTGGCAGACATGGGAGCCTGGGGGTGGGTCTGGCTCCCAGAAGCCCCTTATGTGGGCTGGAGGCACCTAGGCTTCTTAGACGCAGGTGGCCTGCTGGAGTGGAAGATTTTTTTTTTTAACGTTTATTTATTTATTCTGAGAGAGGAGAGAGCGAGCGCATGCTCATGAGCAGGACAGGGGAGGGGCAGAGAGAGAGGGAGAGAGAGAGAATCCCAAGCAGGCTCTGCACGGTCAGTGAGGAGCCCGACACGGGGTTCGATCCCACGATCCATGAGACCATGACCTGAGCTGAAACCAAGAATCGGACACTTAACTGAGCCACCCAGGCGCCCCTGGAGGAAGATTTAATCCTGCCCCAGGCTCCTAATTTTGTCCGTCCACCCTGAGCACCTGACATCTTGCCCTGGCAGGTTTGGCAACTGCGTGGAGCTGCAGGCATCAGCCTCCTTCAACTGGAATGACCAACGTTGTAAAACCCGGAACCGTTACATCTGCCAGTTTGGTAAGGGCCCTCTCACACCTCCCCTTTCCGGGTCCCTGTCCTCTGAGGTCCCTGCTGGCCCGCTGCAGGCACTAGGATAGCCAGGTCACAGGCCCAGAGAGAGTCTGAGCGTGCAGGACCGCCAGGGATGTCCCGCTCGGGGTGTTGTCGTACCTGCGGGCCCCTGAGGCCCAGAGAGGAAGAAGGGCCCGGTTTAGCTCGTCTGCGCAGCAGCAGGACTGGAATACAGCCTGGCCAAGGATCTCTCCAAGTTCCTTTTCCTCCTGTCACTAAAGCTGCTGCTTGGGGACCTGTTGGTTTCACTGGTGTTCCTGATTCCCTAGGGCCCAGTGAACGACAGTGGGGAACAGGGGTGAAACCTGGCCCAGAACCGGCCCCCAGCAACACCTGCTGGAAAGGTCTGGAGCTCCATCTGGGCACGATAGCCATTTCAGGGCCAGCTACAGGAAGGTCCCCATCCGAGGACTGCCTGGGCTGCCACTGACCCTCGCTCGGTTCGGCTTCCTTTCCAGCGGAGGAGCACATTTCCCGGTGGGCCGTGGGACCCTGAGACTCAGCCAGGCCTCTCCCTTGCCAGCCTCCTGAGGCACAGCCCTGCGTGCCCATCTGCACACCTGCCTGGAACAAGGGCCAGGCCAGGGCTGCAAGCCCAACATCCACAGAGGTCTCGGACCCTGTGGGAAGTGAGGCAGGGGCACAAGTCAGACCCAGAGAGGGCTGGGGCCCCTCAGCCTGCTTTCATTGGAAAGATGGGTGTCAGGCACCCCGGGCCGGCAGTCAGAAGAGACCACTCTCCTCCGTGTGTGCCGGACCCTGTGGGGCAGATGGGGATTCCTCACTGCCCAGGGTGCACCCCACAAAGGATTAAACTAAGTTATGAATCACTTGTGCCTGCTTGTTTTGAAGGGGAATCTAGCCGAGTCAGGATGATCCTGGGAACACCAGAGGGTGCCTGAGGCTTTCCTGCTGGTTGCCCACCCCCGACCCCAGTCCCTTCCCTGCTCACCCATATGACCCAGACCACCCTCTGGAAGTTTTCTGGTGTTAGCCCCTGAATGATGCACAGATTTGGAAGCCTTGTTTGCATCCCTGACTTCCTGTTCCAGCTCCCCCTCACCGCTGCCTCTGTCGGCTTTGCGCTTCTGCCCACACCCTCTCCCTGTATTCACCGTGCCCGCCCCTACATGTTCCCGTTTTCTTTGTGATTATCGGAACTGGGGTGGGTTATGGCCCCGTTGCCCTCCTCTCCCTTCAGTGGTGAGAGCGGCCGTGGGGGCAGGTGAAGACTGGCAGGTGCCATCATTAGCGTCCAGAATGCACCCCTACCCAGTTGCACGCTGTTATGTGTGAACATTGAGTTGCTTTGCTGGTTGGAGGTGGGAGTGTGGCCCGGGGTCATGAACGGAGAGAAGTGTAGCAGCCACAGTTTCTATTGTGGTTGTAAGCAATAGAAACATAGAAACAGTTGTGACTTAATCACGGCAGAAAAGGAACTTATCAAAAAGACAATGATTGGGGTGCCTGGGTGGCTCAGCCGGTTGACCGTCCAACTTCGGCTCAGCTCATGATCTCACGGCTTGTGGGTTCGAGCCCCATGTGGGTCCCTGTGCTGCCAGCTCAGAGCCTGGAGGCTGCTTCGGATTCTGTGTCTCCCTCTCTGCCCCTCCCCTGCTCACGCTCTCTCTCTCTCTCTCTCTCTCTCTCTCTCAAAAATAAATAAACATGAAAAAAAGTTGTGTTTTTTTTTTTAAAGACAATTATTTACAAACAGGCAAAGGACATGAATAGACAGTTCCCCAGAGGAGCTATACAAGTGACCAACAAACACAACATCACTAGTCATTAGGAAATTCACAGCAAAACCACACTGAGATACCACTTCACACCCATTACGATAGTTGTTATCAAAGAAACAGATGATAACCGGGGTGCCTGGGTGGCTCAGTCGGTTAAGCGTCCGACTTCGGCTTAGGTCATGATCTCACAGTTCGTGAGTTTGAGCCCCACATCTGGCTCTGTGCTGATAGCTTAGAGCCCGGAGCCTGCTTCAAATTCTAGGTCTCCCTCTCTCTCTGCTCCTCCCCCGCTCATGCTTTCTCTGTCTCTCCTTCAAAAATAAATAAAAACATTAAAAAAAGAAACAGATGATAACAAACGTTGATGAGGTCTTGGACCAACTGAAACCCTCATACACTGCTGGCGGGAACATAAAACTCTGGAAACAGTTTGGGGAGTCCTCAAAAAGGTAAGCACAGCTACTACATGCCCCAGCAACCCCACTGCTAGGTATGTACCCGAGAGAACTGAACACAAGTACTCCAACAAGTCCTTATGCACCAACAAGTCCTTATATGCACAAAGTTCCCAGCAGCATTATTCGCAACAACCCAAACGCCCATCAACGGACGAGTGGATAAACAAATCTTGGTGTGTACGTGCCAAAGAATATTATTCAGCCATTAAAAGGAACGAAGTACTGGGGCGCCTGGGTGGCTCAGCCAGTGAAGTGTCTGACTCTTGATTTCGGCTCGGGGCATGATCCCACAGGATTCTTTCTCCCCTCTGCCCCTCCCCGTGCTTGCGTGACACGTTCTCTCTCTCTCTCTCTCTCTCTCTCTCTCTCAAAGAACAAAAAGGAATCAAGTACAGATACGTGCTGAGGTGGATGAACCCTGAAAACATTTTCAGTGAAATAAAGTAGCCACAAAAGGTCACATATCATGGTTCCATTCATACGAAATATTCAGAATAGGTAAATCCACAGAAATAAAACGCATGTTGGTGGTGGCCAGGGGTGGCAGGAGGAAGGGGAGTAACTGCTCAACGGGTCTGGGTTTTGTTTTGAACACTGAGAGGTGGTGGTCTCACAAATGCCACCAAACTGGTTACTTTCCTGCTATGTGAATTTCACCTCAATTAACAACAAAAATCCTGATCACAGGATCCCAGGGAGAGTCAGAGAGCCAGCCCGGGGGCTTACGCAGCCAGAAATAGTGCCCCAGATTCGGCTGAAAGTCAGGCCAGGTAGACACCCAGGCCAGTGCCGGCAGGAACTGCGGAGGGTAAACTCCGGCAGCGACGCTGGAGCCACCCGTGTGGCAACCCCACCTCTGCACTGACAACTAATGCTGGCAATCCCGTGCCCTCCTGAGCCCAGACACCAAATTCCCATTCTGCTGCGGCCTCGCCGGTCAGCATTCCCCGCACGAAGGCTTGTGCCCCGGCCGTGTATTTCTCAGCGCTGTGGCAAAGGGGCCATCCAAGAGTTTGCGAGTGGAGGTGGCAGTGGGCAGGTCCTACCTGAAAAGTCCATTCCAAGCTTCTCGTCTGGAGGCGGGGCAGCACAACGCGGAGCTTCTCCAAGTCAGGCTGCAGACCGGCGGCATTGGCGTCAGCCGGGAACCTGGTAGAAAAGCAAATTCTCGGGGCTCCCAGGTGGCTCAGTCGGTGAAGCGCCTGGCTCTTGGTTTTGGCTCAGGTCATGATCTCACGAGTTTGTGCGCTTGAGCCCCGTGTCCGGCCCTGCGCTGGTGGAGCCTGCTTGGGATTCTCTCTCTTTCCCTCTCTGCCCCTCCCCCACTCGTGCTCGTATGCTCTCCCTCTCTCTCTCTTATAAATAAATAAATTTTAAAAAGAAGAGAAAATTCTCAGCCACCTCCACCACCTCCAGCCAACTGAATGGGGAAGGTGAGGCCAGGGCTTGGGTTTTAACAAGATCTCTGGCTACTTCAGACGCAGGCTCTGGTGCCAGAACCACGGGGGGGAGGTGGAGAGTTTGAGCCTAAAGTCAGGCCACCTGGATTTCAGGGCAGGCTCTGTCACTTACTGCGTTACTTTGCGCGAGACCCGTCACCCCACTCTGCCTGGAGCGGTCTGGGTGTCAGCACTGCAAGCCCCACGTGCTTGGAAACCCCTCATTCCCAGGCGATCCGGGACACTTGGTCACCCCAAAACATCTCTCTGCCTTCTGTTCTTCTGTAAAGTGAGGATAATAAACTGACTTGGTACATTAAGGTGTTGGCGACAGAGCCTGAGGTCAGCAAACAGGGATGAATGTCAGCTCAGCTGAGCTCGTGCCCCAAATTTTTTCGATTCCTTCATCAACAGTACACCATCGAACCTCGCTTGTTAACTAAGTAAATCTGTGAAACAAGTTGCTTGAAACTGTGCCTGGTCGTTAGTCAACTCAGAAAGTCAGGGGCTCATTTTTCTTCTTCGCCCTCAGCTAATGTCATTTGGCCACGATTAAGGCCGGGTTTCAGGCAACCACCAGGGCAAACAATTAGAACCGTCCCAGCTACTCAGACGAGCCCCACTTAGTATCAGTACGTTCGACCCTGTCTCATGTTGTTTGCTCCCTCCCCCAGCCCTCCACCCTCAGAATCCGTTCCCTGATCACTGTGCCAGGTTTCTGCCGATATAAATTAGCAAAATCTCTGGGTTCTTTTGGTGATTCCATATCCTCCTTCTAGATTTGAAGTCATCGGCCCCCTGGGACCTGCAGGGGTCTGACTTGGTGTCTCAGTCTGGAGAAAGTGAGGGGTGGTGGGGTAGGGCACGCAAGGGGACTCGTTCATGGCAAGGTCATAAGGGGGTGTGTTATTTCGGAAAGTGCCAGCTGCTGGCCACGGTTGCACGTGTGCACTGGTCACGTAGCACGTAGCACACTAACTGCAAGGGAGGCCAGGAAACTCCACCCAGATGTGTACCCAGGATGGGGTATGGGCTTGGCAAATAGCCAGCAAGTGTGTGCCTCTAGCGTGTTCAGTAGGACCAAGAGGTAGCTTCTGCTGGCAAGGGAGGTTCCCTGGGAGTGGGAGGTACCTAAGCCTTCCACCTCCCCCAAGAGCCCCGTTCTGATGGCCTTGCCCTCCATTCTCCATTCTCTCCCAGCTAGAGACCTAGCAAGGAAGGGTATGAGGCCACCTGATGGCGTTCTATAGCCACTGATCAAGCTGGAACATTGGTTTATTTTACTCTCTCATCCTTGTAACTGCAAGATATAAAAATTCCTGCTTTTGGGGGTGCCTGGGTGGCTCAGCCGGTTAGGCCTCTAACTTTGGCTCAGGTCATGATCTCGCAGTTCGTGGGTTCGAGCC